TGGTGTGCAGCTTGTACGGATTGGCCACTTCGACTTCCGACCATTCCCTTGTCAGATTTTAGGTGCAAACTTACGGTGGTTCGAAGCTGGTGCGAACTTTTGCACACGATATTGTAGAGCTTGCTTTGCTCTATCGAATGGTGCCTCTACCTGATGCATATGCGTTGAGTTTCGAGAAATAGCAGATCTAGTTCGACAATGTCCCAGAACTTTCGAGCCACCCTAATAGATTGGAAAATATTTGTGTTCTTATTCGCTTTGAAATATGAGTGACAGCAAAAAAAGCAAGATGCTGGTAAGTTTATTTTTATGACAGGGAAAAGAGAGGAGTGCAGAGATCACCAAAATAGAATGTAAGGACAAAACTAGAAGAAGGAAATCGTCCTCGAACTTCAAAGTAAATCGTATAATCGTTTTCGCGGAACACGCGGAAGGTGACAAAAGTTTTTAAACAGGAACAATAAGCGACCACGCCCCGTCCGAGTTCCCTGTCGTTAGCCTCCTTTCATGATGTGTGCACAAGTTCTGTACCAGCTTGCATAGGCGCGGGCAGTGGAAATCAGAGAGATAGCAATTTGTTTGAGACATGATGCTTTTGTTTTGTCGCAGATATTTGGTAAGCCGTAATGGCAGTATCTTTTATGCCCTAATCTTCTGTTATGGATACAATACCCTTTCAGATATGTACAATATATATACAATATATACAAATCAAAGACTGCTACTTGGGATGGATAATATTGAAATAAGATTCCTTGTTCTTTAATGTGGAGACAGACGCCATTTGCTGTAATATCACAACCTTGAAAGTGCTCGGAAGTTCTATTGACCGTTCTGTTAACTGATGTGAGATGCGCTGTATTTCGGAAACCTGCTTTGTTGTCAATACTGCAGCCAGTTCTTGTCAAAAATAAAATGTTCCCTCTGAACTTTATATCTTAGGCCCGTATGCACTAACATTTTTGCGGCGAGGGGAGCGGCGTCCCCCGTTATGAAGGGACCGAGTGCGTGCGGACGCCGCTGCGGCTTTTTCATCATTGGGGACGCCGCTCCCCTCGCCGCAGGGATGTTAGTGCATGCGGCCCTTAGATTAGAAAAAAAACATGGGAGAAGTTCGAGTTGATACAACAACTATATCTTAGAAAGTTTTTTAAAGCTACGTTACATGATACTTACTTCCACCTTCAGAAGGAAACTGCTTTGAAGCAATCAGATATGTTTGTTTCATCCCGTCCAAACAATGTCAAAGGTTATCCTTTGTCTTATGTTCTAACGATTCTCTTGGAAGTACAGCATTGCAATACTTAAAGGCAGTGGCTCGGCAAAACCGAACACCTCGATTGATATAGAAGGTTGCTTGCATCCCGAACGTGAGAACAGAGTAGGTTCGAGTGCATACCGCCCCCTACCCGTGCGCGCAAGCATTCTTGAAGCGCTCGGACGAGCTTGAAATCCTTCTCCCACCGTCAGAGACGGCATGCCGCAATGCTTTGAACATGAGGGTTCCGCAACGACTCTACGTCTCTAACCATGGCGGGGAGTGGTACACTCGTCTAAATTCAGAATAAGGGACCTTGGAAAGGCTGCTTTTCGCCATCTTCACGCTCTCCAAAGTGTATTTCTGGAATCAGCGCATCGAAATACCCCAGGTAAGCGAAAGAATTTCAAATCGAGGATTTGCCGAGCCACTGCCTTTAAAAATATGGATGAATACTTTCGTTATTCTCATTCACTTAGAGGCAACTTGAAATATGTTTCAGGTCATTTTAATGTTCAACCGAAATCAAATTTTCGTTACCAAACCCTTATATGGCAATTAGCTAACTAAAAATAAACAGTTCAACAGTTCCAAGGTCACGCGGACCTTCCCTTCGTACACTAAATTAAGTCACACCTGACCAAGAATGTGGTACAATGATATCTAAAGGGCAAAATAGACGAGATCATAGAGTAAATCGCTACCACTGATCCAGCGTACGTGCCGTAAGAACGTCAATTTGGTTTGGTTAACTCGAGAGCAGCGTCTAACAGCAGGAATCTTGAGGCGTTGCCCCGAGAATTTGCCTGTGTTGGGTTTTTGTCCGTCCTCCTCAGCCCACTAGACATCCGGTGTGCAACTTGAGTTTGATCTGGCACAGGCCGGATATAGAGCAACTTTTTCTTCCATCTGTTTCAGCTTACGACGTTTTTCTCCGCTCTTCTTTATGCAAGCGTTTCTAGTGTTTTTACAATGTCGAAGCAAAATGACGATTTCGCCTTTCGCCAAACGATGAATACGGGAACTGTATCATGAAATGATGTGGATGGGAATTGTGGCATGGAGTCGACTAAAACAACATTCCAGACATGGTATTTACCGAATTTACAAGCAAATACCAAGTTTATTTGAATCAGTTATGATGAGCACAGCAGTGAGAAAAATTGCTCGAATCACGAAAACTAGCTTTGATTACGAGTGGCTGAAACGTGGCATGCAACGAAGATAGAAGGAAAAAACTCATGCGTAAGCTTGGCAATGGAGAAAATCTTGCCGCGCTTTACCGCTCGGTCTTCAATTCAAAGCTGTTTTTCTTCATGTTTAGATGTCTAGCAGTTGTGGCAAAACGCTTACGTTTTACATTTACTAATTGCTTCAAAACAGAAAATAGGTTGGCAATCATGTAGCAGCTTTCGAACAGCTGTACCATTATTTCTGCCGTTTTAGGCCAAATGGGCAATTCCTCCCTTTTTAAACGCAAGCTTAGGCACACGGACCTCACCTCTTTCATGCCTGCGTACACCATATATAGATCTAAACGGGAACAACTAACCGATTGGTACATTGATGCATTCCGTCCTGGTCTCCCGGATGCAGATAATGTGTGTAATGTGTATATCTTTTGAAGAGCAAGTGGTACATTCTTCATCTTTTCTTGACGCACCAACTTCAAGAAAAGCTGCCGAATTCTGTATGTATGTGCAAGAGCCCAGTTTTGTAAAAATATTACATTAACACATTCGCGACAGGGCCGATTTTTCGCTGACTCCCATTTCGGACCAGAGCATATTTCGCAAAATTGAGTTTGCGTAATTTTTTTAGGTCACTGATGGGCCTTGTGGTCGGAAGTGTTAATCTTTTGGGAAGTACTCTAAGAAATGTATGCAGAAGTTTACTCGGCTTGTCTAAAAAGTTCAACCGTGAACTAGCAAAATCAAAAACTTCAGAAAGCATACGACCCACCGGTGGGTGGTATTGTCCGAAATGGCAGAACACGTACGACCCACCGATGGGTCGTATTGTCGTGAATGTGTTAAGAATGTCTCAGCTTCTGATCAAAAGTAGTTTCACAATTCGTTTTCTATGAAAAAAACTGCAAACAAATATGTGACGCCGCCCATGCTTATCGAACACCCCGTAGAGTTAGTATTTGAAAATGACTAGTTCGTTTAGAGGGCGTAATATCTGGGAACCTCAATTAGAACTTGATCCACGGGATTTTTTGGCATACTGGGTATACGTTGATAGATGTTACCTCAGTATGCTTGTATTAGGTTGGTGCAAAAGTAATGCGCGTTTTTCTGGCCCTTATTTCAAGAAGCTTTTCTCCATCGAAGTTTCTCCTATGAAACTTACACAGCATACCTTGAAGAAGCTTCTTTCATGCTCTATTGGTGGTTGAAAGAAGCTTCTAGCCTCAATCGTTAAAAATTTATAGAGCTTCATACAACCGCACTCAAAACCAGAATTTCATTGCACTTAGTATTTTGGCCAGAATTTGAGCGCAAAAAAAGCGCACTCTTTTGAAAATCTAACTACTGTATGTAGTGGAAATTTTCTACGTTATGCACGCTTTGCTGTTTTCTCAGAAATTATTCAGACTGAGATTTCGGTGCCCCAACATGAGTGATGGTTTTGAACATTCTGTGGCCCATAGATTTCCTTTGCAGAGGGCAATCGCCAAAGTTTTGCTCACTCCTGTAAGCGTAAGGGTGGACCTCTTGTTGACACTTTTTGAAGAAACTTGGAAGCTGTTCAGTACACAAAAAATGAAAAATCTCCATTTTTTGGGATTTTGAGGGCTACGAAAAAATGTCGAAAAAAGCGGGCAATTTTAAATATTGTTTTTTCCTTTTCTCAAATCTTCTTTGTTTGAGCCCCTTTCAACTTTTATTTGTACTACTGCTTGCGGCTACAAGACAGTCAACTTTTCATTTATACCAACAAATCTTGAAGGAACTTATGATCAGTTAAAAACAAGGTTTCCAAAAATTTTTTTGCTTATGCTTATTTTTTTGCTTATCAATCCATATTTTTTCACCGTTTTGCGATATTAGCACAAATCAACGTGCGCTGTATAGATAGAGGTTTGGTGCCTCTGGTGGATTTTGCCGCGCTGAAAGATATGGATTTTTTAGAAAGTTATAGCACGTCAAAGTGAGAACTCGCAAAACGCGCATTACTTTTGCACCAACCTAATAATTTGCATCATGGGCTTAACTGACACACTATTGACGCATATCATATTCTTGCTAATGTTAATATCACGTCAATCACAATTCCCTTCCCTCTCTGAACCCTAATTAAGCCCCCTCCCCCAAGTATGGAGTGCCGTACCCACGCTTCATCCTGATATTAATAAAGGATAAAGGATTCGGCGACTTCAATACCCACTGAGGGCATGCGCCGAACGCACACGCTAACTTTATGTCGAAGAGGCAACTTGTATGCGTGCGAGCCTATTACAGTGACTGGGGGCCAGCCGTTTCCAAGTCAGTGCTTTTATCCTCCCAGATTACTCTGGTACCAATTTACCGGCCCCGAAGGGTAAAGGGCTTGGTTGGCCCAGGGGCGGGGATCGAACCTGTGATCGATCTGGTCATAGCGACACCTCATACCACTACGCCAGTCCCCTTCACCCTGATATTGACTGTGAGTAACTCCGTATATTGTACCGGATTGTAAAGGAGTAGAATATGCTGCAAAAACCTATCTACCCTGCGTAACAAATCGCTAAAAAAACTTACTTCTGATTGGTGATGCAAAGGTACATGGTGTTATTGTAGTCGGAATCATAATAATCTGAACTCTTTGGACAATCGGCATATGCGCAACCTATTTTGGAAGCATCAGCACGCATCAGCTGAAGGTACACATTAACATTCTTCACAAATAAATTTTCTCACGCACATTAGCATAGATTTTTGAATTGAACTCAGAATTGTTCGTATATGTCACGGACTGATTGGTGATAGAGGATGAAAAGCCTTCCGTGTCAATAAGGTCCAAAAAGGACCAAATCCGATACGAAAAATCGTAATTCTGGTAGTGTCTGCCGCACCTGAATATTATGAATGAGTGTCGTTATCACAGCACAAAGACGTTGGCTCAGGCCTTTTTAATTCGAAAAAACTAGTATGTTTCTTACATTAGCTGACTTCGATTGCTGGGCTGATTACTTTCAGTGCTGCCTAGCGTCCAAGGTTATCATATTCTTCAGAAGCTAAAAGTGGTGTAGTGGTTACCTTACGCTCATCAATACGGCTGCAGAACAATCCGTGCGCCAACGGAGAAGTTGAGTAGAGTTTGTTCTTGTTCCTTTTTCATACTTTATCAGTGAAATTAGGCAGGCATAGGTTGACGCGTCGTTTGATGATGTAGGCATAAAATGGTAATAGCGCACCATTTTGAACCTTGAAGATGAGAGCAAGTCGAAACGTTAGGCAAGCAGAAGGGTTCAGGAAAATCTCGGCATAGCATACATCAACACACAACCGCAATTTTCGTCTTGCCCGCAAGAATGGCAGAGGATCTTGAGTTGTGAAATTTACAAGATAACAAGCTTCACTCGCATTTGCTAATGACAAAGAGGAGTTGAATTTTTGATGTTTTACCGAAAGCAAAAACTCCGAATTCTTACTTATAAAAAAAGTATCCATTAGCAGGTTCCTGTCCTGAAAGATCATCTACGCAGTCCAGATTGGCCACAACCTCGCTAGCAATTTGTTCGAGTGCGCAATCATACGTCTGAAATAAGCACGGTAATTGGTACATCAAAGAGTTTTTCGCTCTTTCGCTGTTGATTTCAAGCAACAGATTCTTGATTTGTAAAGAAACGTACAGAAGAAGTCGACGAAACGTCCTGGAAACTTTTCAAGTGCTTTCGCGCATTTTTGTCCCTATGCATAAAGTCTCTTCATCAAATGGAACGGCGGTTCTGTGGCTCATATTCACCAACGAATCCAATGAGCTTCAGAACTTGGTGGATATGACTAGCCCAGGAGACTGGAAGTCACCCAGCTAGCGGGTTCATCCACCGCGTTCAGGAACCACAAAAAGCCACTTGAAGATATTCACGAATTGGGTCCATGTCTTCGCAAACTCGAATAACCGGTATTCTACGGAAGCAACTAACACAGATTCTGTGGATTCGAGCACTGGCTTAGCGAACCCAAGTGTGAAAAAAAAGTTGCATTGAGTCACATGTAAACCAAGCCTCTTGGTTGCGGTCGCGGTTTGCTAAAATTACCAAAATTTCTTAGCAGCGATGGTTGCTACTAGCATTATGCACTAGAAGCACTTTTCTACTCATCTAAACCTTCAGAAATTTTTGACGATAACCTTGACAAATTTTTTTCCACCGGATAGCATTGTAAGCCTTGGTGCCACCGACGATTCAACCTTGAAGATATGCAGATGTGCAAAATGTGCAAATGTGCAAGTACCGTCGAGACATTTTTTGGTGAACTTAATGCGCCTGCAGAAGCGACAGCACTTACGCGTCAACAATCCGCAAAGTGAGAAGTTCCAGAAGATTTCAGTGTTTTTCTTGCTCGTTTTTCATTTTTCAGGTATGCTTCAATCGCAACGACTAGAAGGTTAGCAGAAAGCAGCTTCTATTGTCTTGATCAGTCTTGTTTTGCGTGTTGTTTTGCGAGTTCAGTTTATCTCCTGTAGCTGCATCGCATTTAGTGTGGTGACGTACAGTCGAGTAGATTTTCCGCTTGATGCAGTGTGCTTGCACTGAAGGTGAAATGCGGTATAATTTGCGCGCAAAGAAATAATGCCTGCGACGCCGGCCATTTCCGCGCGCAAATTGTGGCATTACTGGCGTGGCTACTTGTTAACGCGCAAATTTTACCGCATTTCACCTTCAGTGCAAGCACACTATATCAAGCGGAAAATCTATTAGGTTGTAACAAAATGCAGGTTTTGAATTCCGATCGCAATAAGTCATACACTTCTCATATCTAAGTAGGTTGCAATACACCATTCGGTAGAGCAAAGCAATCTCCACAAGATGGCAGTCTTGCTTTAGCGACAACTTTGATCCACCACGAATTTCGAGCCAAAAAACTAAAAAGACTCAACTGTCCGAAAAATTGAGAAAAATCGTAACTCAGTTCATATAAAACCTACAAAAATTCTAATTTGCTCACGTAAACACAATCCACATGGGGCATCTATGCATGCCGTTGCCGTATTTCTTTTTTGCTAGAAATCAAGAGAACGGAAATTCTCGTGCATTTGCCAAAGTGATGCTGTGCCGTTCCCACATAAGTAGTTGTAAACTACAAACCCGTAGAAGTATAAACGTGAATATCGGATACAATTTTCGCTAATCATGTGGTCCAAGCTCAAATTCAAATTTCTCGAGATAAAGCTTGTAGAGAGTTGAAAATTTACGTTTACACTTCTATAGATTTGTGTATTGAACTACTCTTATGTGGGAACGGCACAGCAACACTTTGACAAGTGCACGGGAATTTCCGTTTACTTGATTTCTAACAGAGAAAAAAAATACGGCAACGGCGTGCATAGATGCCCCATGTGGATTGTGTTTACGTAAGCAAGTTAGAATTTTTGTAGGTTTTTTATGAAGAGTTATGATTTTTCTCAATTTTTCGGACAGTTAAATCTTTTTAGTTTTTGGCTCGAAATTCGTGGAGGATTAGAGCTGTTGCTAAAGCGAGATAGCCATCTTGTAGAACTTGCTCTGCTCTATCGAATGGTGTTTTGCAACCTACTTAGAAATGAGAGGTGTATGACTTATTGCGATCGGAATTCAAAACCTGCATTAATTTTGTTACGACCTAACACTTGACTGTATGGGACCCGTCATACTTAGCCGAAAAAAGCCAAAAGCGCCCAAAAAAGCCCGAAAAAGCCCAAAAAGCCCAAAAAGCCCGAAAGCGCCAGAAAGAGCCGGAATGTAGAAACGAACTTTTGGTAGAATTCTGACATTATCTTATCGTGCGGACGACAGAAAATGGCAAAAAGGCTCGATTGCGAAGTGAGCACACATACCTTAGCGCCAAAACGTGCGAGAAGTGTTCCGGCTCTTTCTGGCGCTTTTGGGCTTTTTTGGGCTTTTTCGGGCTTTTTTGGGCTTTTTTGGGCTTTTTCGCGCTTCTTTGGGCTTTTTTCGGCGAAGTATGACGGGTCCCTATCTCTTGCTTTCATCTCTCTTCTATTAAAATTAACTTCTTCATAAAGCTAAACGCTAATAGGTTTCTTCAACCTATTCGACGTTCTCTTATCATAGAGTATCGATATGAGACATACTTTCAATTGAGTAAAGATTCACAGTTGGTGAGTTGACTTCGAACCTACTAGTGAAAAACCATTTTTTGAAAGATTCAAAAAACTATGTACGATGCAGCTCTCAGGAAGAACCCCCGAACTCAAACGACGCTATACAACAACGACTGATCAAAATGGCAAAAACTGCTTTCGGATTTTTACTCCTAGTCAACTGAGGCTACCTGAAAAATAATAATGCACGGAAAACACTCACATTACTTGGAACTTTTCACCCTGCGTCAACTGTTCACACGTAAGTGCTGCCGCTTGTGCAGACGCACTATATTTACCGGGAAATCTGCTCGACTGTAACTTTTTTCTTTCAAGAAAAGTTGTAGCGTCATTTCGGCAACCGATTTCGGTGTTTGCTAACCGCAGATTTCGAAATTTCAATAACTTCAGTATTTATGCAAAATATGAATGAGCATAAAGACGGAGAATAATACTAAGTTTGCATTTTCACTGGTTTCTTGCAACCTCAACCAAAGAAACTCAATTTTACGGAAAGCAATGTGATTGAGAAATTCTACCCAGTTGATAGCGATTGTCGCATCAGCAACAAATCCGATTGCTCAGAGAATAACTAAAAAAATAAATATAAAACATGTGAGAAGTTCACGTGAGCGTAATCATAAAATAATTATGAAGTTTTTTTGAGTAAATGTAGAAACCTTTTTTCCTGCGGTCAGGTGAAAGTTTCGAAGAAAACTCGAGCGGAAGGGCTGGCTGCGCCTGTCCTTCTTCTTGATTTCAATCTTGATGTCAATATTCAGTAACCTTGCCGAAAGGTCAAGTGTATTGCATAGAGTCAGCCGCCACTTTTCAAGGAGATCTTCTCGATCGACAAAAACAGAAATTTTTCAGTGGTAGAAGCTGCAGCGATGAGGCTTGCCAGCTGTCCACCCCAATTCGTTTGCGCATATGGTTCGTTCTCATCGGAAAAATCTTCTCAAATGGGCATTACAGGCTTTCGTAAACTTATGTCAAGTTTCTAGTTATTTACCACGAAAAATCTATAAGTATCTCCCAGTGGCGTACCTAGGATTTCGGCTCGGGAGGGGTAACAAAAATTTTTTTGATGGTGTCTGACCTCAGCCACGCCTCCGAAAAAATTTTAGGGGTGCTTTCAAAAATTTTCGCGGGCTCATAACCCCGAAAATCCAGAATGAACAAGTCATTCGCACAATTTTATAGCTCATGTAAGCAACTTCAAAAAATTTTGCGACCCGTTCTCGGGGGAGGAGGGGGGAAGGGGCGCGCCCACCTCGGTATATCTCCTCTCCTTCCCCCCCCCCCTTGATACGGCTATTCTACTCGTGATCACCGCGTTTGATCGCACTTCCATAAAGTTTAAGCTCGAAAACTCTGTAAAATCGAAGGTATGATAGCGTCAATCAGCTTTCTATGATCTACCTCAATCCCTTTGATATTTATGGTAAAAAAAATCGCAGTATTACTGCAGCGCATACATCTCGCATGGGACTTCGAAAAGCTTGTAAAGCTTGGAGACATCAAGCAAAAAAAGCTACCGTCGATGAGATTTTGATTGTGGACATACTGTTTGTGAACAGCATATTTGCTCACATATCCATGGCAAGTTTGACCAAGAACTGAAATGCATCATGTGGCATGGTGCAATACGTAATGGACTAACGATAAATATACTCATATCTTGTCAATTTAACTATTGCCAAAAAAGTGTTTAAAACGTTCATGAAAATAAAGCAGCGAGCAATCATTTTTCTTTGAGAAAACTCCTCGCAAACGCGATAGGTCTACTGCCGGACGAAGCTGCGTAAGCTAGGGGTGCGAACGCTGTCTTGGCATAGGTGCGATGTTTAGCAGAATCACAGCGATGTAGCTGCTATCTTGAATAAGTTGCTAGAACAAATTCGTCCGACAAACTATTACAAGCCGGCTGCGCTTAGCATCGTTGCAATCAAACAGTACCCACGACTAGTTGCAGCACCTCTGAGATAGACTTGCTGCTACTATCTAGTATTTCGGCCCAGCAGTCTAGCTTTCTATTTTTCTAATGGATACAAATGGCTTTCCTATGGAAGTGATTTCAGCTTGTTATTACTTTTTCAACCTTCGCATTTTTCCTGCTTGTGCAGACTCCGTCTTTGGGTCAGAATAGGCCCATCAGATACGATATCTCTCATCCGGCATTTGATATGCCCAGTGTTGAGCGTGTGGTCAGTGTCCGGCAGGGAGGTGGGGGGGGGGGGGAGGAGAGGGTAATCGGGAATCGGTTTGTTCAGAAAATTGAGGAAACACTATGATTGAATAGGGTGGAGGGAAAACGTGACTGGTGCACAGTACCAGGATTGAAGGATTGATTAACATGAACAGCACTCCACTATAAAATCTCCATCCTACCTTACACATACTGAAGGACACCAAAGAATCTTGCGAATGTGTGTGAATTGGGTATACCTTCCGTAATCAGCAGGTCAAGTTACCTCTACGAGCTCTACGAACCATTACTCATTACAATGTTTCCTAGTGTCTAAAAAGAGTGATTTTGAAAATGATTAACTTGATTTTAAAATGATAGAAGTGAACTTTTCTACACTTACAGCAAAGTAATTTTTTTATCAGCCTGTGCATAGAAACAGACTTCATGTCGCTTTCAATCAGTGGACTAAGAAGTACTGAGAAGTCTCATGTCCCGCGATAACTCGAACGCGCTTCTTCTCCCACGGCCATACCTTCGATAGTCTAGAAACAGGGGCGTCAAAAGTGAAGGTTGTTTGAACTCTGACGTCATAAATAGTGAAGGTTGAAAGATGATCAGAGAAGAGAAAATGACATAAAACAGATATAAAAAGCAAAAGAAACTGCTGAAAACCGGATAAAAACGCTGCAATGAGGCTTGAAATCTTTCACTTGGCGTCTTTTCAAAGTGCAAGTTTTCGCAGGACCAGCAATTCGCAACACGGGGTTTTGATTTTTGATGCGTCCTTTAAATTTTTACCCCCGCATTGACTTCCTGTTTCCTGAGACGTTGTGGATTGTTGCGCTTATTGTTCTGAGCAACAACCGCCCAAGCTGGAAAAGAAATCGATGCGAAAGAACTGAAACAGAACAAGGTAAAGAAAAACGCACTTTTTACGATTTTTCGCAAAGAATTCCACATTAATCGAAGAGATAAAGCCTGGGTGGTTGTCTGCTTTGTTAACAGAAGCAAGATCTATAGAATGCACGGAAAAACCGCGTGAAAATAGTTAAACTAGGAGAAGAACAAGGTTTGAAAACAAGGTTTTTGCCGGATTTCTCGACCAAATCAAAAAATTTGGTTCTGTGACGTTGTCAACGTGAAAATAGAGATCAAGAGCTCTAAAATGATATACAGCTTGCTAAAATTAGATTCGAAACAGCGAAGAAAAGGGTACCAGAGCCAAATGCCTCGCGCCCCGCGTTTGGGGTAGCGAGGTAGCGCGCAGCGCGCGGAGACGCAGACGAGCAGCGGAGACAGACCAGAGCGAACGGGGCATTTGGCTCTGGTCGTAGATCTCCGCGGGGTCTCAACGAAACCCTGCAGCATTATATATCATTCTGATCGCCATGACATGACGAGGAGAAACAATGTCCCAGGCATTCAAAATCACTCATTAACGAAATAGACCACCGTTTTCGTGCGCGACTCTCTGCGTAAGATTCAAGCGCAGTTTCTCGTTTATATTCTATGAAAACGCAAATTCTCGGTTTCGCTGAGATAAGCTAGAGAAATTATTCCCCTATATTTGCTTCATTAACATTCGTTTTGATATAATCAGAATAATAACAGAATGACTTCTATTTTTTCCAGGTGAAGGTTGTGTCCCCTCATAACCCTCAAAGTGAAGGTTACCAGAGTACGAGGCTCTTTGTATCAAGGTGTACCTCTTATTGTAAGCTCACGGCCCATCACAAAGCCGAAAGAATTCGAGCTAAGCTCAAACACCCACTGTAGAACTTCCGTGATTTGACTCACATAAAATCAGCTGAAAAGGCTTTTCGGTGATAAGGTCATTGAGGTCAGGCACAATTCTCCCCTCCCCCCCCCCCTCCCTCCTGTTAGGTCAAGCTGCTTGAGATTTTGTAGCCTCGTGCCTGACCCCTCAGCTTGTCTTCAAAATGTAAATCGCACCATTCCTTATGTGAGTGTTAAGCTCGTAGCCTCTTCTTCTACAGTGAAAATTTTGAGTCGAACACCCATCCTTGGAAAAAAATATGGCATAGGCTTTCAGATCAAAATCTTGAATTACGCGTGCGTGTAAGAGTGCAGTCACAGAAAATTGAGCATTGTAAGGATTTCGAAAATTCAAAAATTCTTTGGACAGACTGATATTTTCCAAAATGTCACACTCTTAAAGGGGTTGTTCCCAATTCACTTGTGCCCGACCTCTTTCTCTGATTATGCCTCTTATTGTTAGGAGCAGGGCTCGGCACAGGTGGCTTGGTAAGCAAGCTAGATATCGTTTTTGGGGCAAAAAGCAGAGAGTTTTGCTTTCGTGGCCGAAACGACACATGATTTGCGACGTTTTTTTGGTCGACATTTCGTTTTTTGAGGATTTTTAGGATTATGGTTGAGGGTTAAAGGTTACTTCGTAAAATTTTGGAAAAGTTAAAGAGGATTTCGTTTTTTGCATTTTCTAAAAGCCACCTCGTGCCGAGCCCTGGTTAGGAGCTCTGTAGGAGAAGGATAGAATGACGTTCACGCGTGAAATCGATCTAGTATGTCGTAATACGTTTATTGGAAGGCGAAGTGACTAGTTCGATTTGTTCCTAAGTCATTTGTGCCTCCTGCTTTTTATTATGGCTTAATGGAAAACAAATAGGCGACTGCATCAAGCTTGTATGAAACTAGCTAGCCTAATCTGATGACAAAAAGAAACTAACCATCTTAAACATATGTTTGGCTGGAGGGGAGTTTTTCAATTTCAAACTATCGTCGCTAAATTTATTCAGTTGCATTCCACTGGCCAATATCGCGCGTCCATTGTTGATGACCAAGAGTGTCTCGTTAACATCCCTTTCCGATAAGCCACCATTAGGGCAGTAAGCAGCATCTGAATTGTTTAAATTTTTGTTTTTATCTCTTGTGGCAAAAAGCAGTGTAACGTAGTTCTCTTGCTAATTCTCACTTCGTGCTAGATTGCCATACTTAGGTGATTAATTTGTGCGTATCACTACTATGCTCTTGAAGGCGGCTTACGTTTCTAGAAATTAATGTGGAGATCGTACAGAAGTTAAAATGGCTCTAGACCTTTACGTTTCCTCTTTTCTTAACCTCAGCATAGTTAGGGTGCCTTCATACCGCGCCGGCAGCCGCTGGCAGCCCGTAGCAGCCGCTGGCAGCCCGTAGCAGCCCGCAGCAGCCGCCAGCAGCCCGTAGCAGCCCACAGCAGCCGCCAGCAGCCGTGGCAGCCCGTAGCCGCCACTGGCCGCTTTTGTCATACAAGCGAAAAATCATCAAATTTTTACTATCTTAAGTGCAACTGCACGCCCTCCATCCTCCACGCTTATTCCTTCCTGTTGCCGCAGTTTGATCTCATATATCAACATACTTTGTCCGTTGTTGTTATTATCTTGTTACCGTAGATTGGTTATCCTATCGATGCTCAGTTTCCCTCTCGCAATTGAACCATATTTCGCCAAAGTTTCTTCGCAATGTGATTTCTTCTGACTTTGGATGCGTCCAGTTCCTGCAGGTTGCTATTTGTTGATTTTTTGAAGTATGTTCTGTTTCAGTCATATCACATCGGCGTGGAAGATGGAAAGTATGGGCAAGCGCAGGCAAAGGACTAAGAATTTGATGATTTGCGCTTCTACGACAAAGGCGGCCAGCGGCGGCTACGAGCTGCTGGCGGCTGCTACGGGCTTCTGGCGGCTTCTGGCGGCTGCTGCGGGCTGCTGCGGGCTGCTACGGGCTGCCAGCGGCGGCTGCCGGCGCGGTATGAAGGCACCCTTAGTTGTGAGGTTAGTAGGTTAGAATGTCAACACGAGGTTAGTAGATTTTTTCGTTAGTAATGGCGGCCTGATGTTTCGACTGTTCGTCTTCTTCAGAGGCAAGTGGCGAGAGATTTAGATGTTATGCTCTACTCCACCACAAGCTTCCTCCATCCGTGCCCAGCCTCGACTCCATCCCCGAATGTTACAAACGAAAATACGGAAGTACGCAAAAGACGAACTAACCTCCTCCGCCACTCCTGCTCAGATAGATGATGGATGCGGCTGTCCTTGAGTGCCACTAGTATGGAATACAATGTATACCATATTAATATTAATCAGTGGCATTTTTCAATTCACACAACGCTATAAAAGGCACAAAGTTATTCGTGATTGACGCTCGCTCATTTCAGTTGTTCATACATGGATTTCCTGCAAAAATTTAGAATACTTCAAAATTTCTATTAGCAGTATCATACTCGTATGTCAATATAGTACATCTAATTTTGAAGTCGTTACCACAATGGAATTCAACCTTGTGTACACCAAGCGGTGTGATAAGGCTTCCCGCCTCTTGCCGGCGAGATGTTTCTTCAATCTTACCCAAAATTGCCTCCCAGTCTCTCCGATATAAGTGGAGCTGCACTCAATATATTCAGTCTCATATATGAGACCAGTCTTACGGCAGTCACCAGCTTCATCAAATGGACAAACTACGCAGTCTTGGGTTCTGCAGTAGTTGTCGTAAAGTCTGTTACGGACAGCCGCTTCCTGATGTTATCACCAGTGCATCGTCGCACTGCAGAACTGGTCTCGTCAGAAACGAAAGGAAGGCAAAGAGTACTTTCTGTTGGTACTCATTGCTATGAGTGGAGATGGATGGTCCACTGCGTTCTTTTTAAGGCGCATAAACATTCATTCGAGCCATCTCCAGCACCCCTCTTCAAGATTCCTTCCGTTTTTCTTTTCCTGCGCATACGTTCGTACCCTTTGCTTCAACCAGATCGGCTTCTGGAAGGCGGGGCTTCAAGACCTAGGAGGCGCCTGATCGCTTGCGCGACGCAGTCTGCGCCTCCCTCGCAAAAACGCTCTCTGATCATTTTTTAGCCTTAAATCTCAAAGAGGGGCGCTGGAGAATGGTTGAATGAATGGCTACGCGCCCAAAAAAACGCACTAAACCATCCATTTCCACCCACAGCAATCAGCATCAACAAAAAGTACCTCTTTGCCTTACTTTCTGACGAGACTAGTTCTGCAGTGCGACGATGCACTGACCGTGCGAACTTGGAAGACGATGTCATTTAGTTGATATTCTTGGTGATAATATCAGGAAGCGGCTGGTTCGTAACAGACTTTACGACAACTACTGCAGAATCCAAGACTGCGTAGTTTGTCCATCCGGTGAAGTTGGTGACTGCAGTAAGATTGGTGTCATATATAAGATTGAATTTGAGTGCAGCACTTCTTACATCGGAGAGAATGGGAGACAACTTTGGGTAAGAATGAAAGAACATCCCGGCAAGAGGCGGGGAAGTCTTACCACACCGCTTGGTGAACACAAGGTTTCCATTGTGGTAAAGACTTAAGATCTAAATCTCTTGCCACTTCAGGCCTCTGAAGAAGACGAAAATGTCAAAAGTCAGGTTGCCACTACCGACAATGAACCTACTAACCTCGTGTGCTGGCATACTAACGTACTAACCACACAACTGGCTCTAGGCCATTCAGCGAGTTGAATTTTTGGGGCAAAAACATCACGCGCGTGCTCAAGGATGCAATTAGCTTCGTTTTTTAACTAAGTCAACTTTAGTATTGTTCCAAGACACTCACCATCCTCCGACGCATATGTGAAAGCAATCTAAAAATATCAATAGTGGACAAATTTTGGAATGAGATGAAACTCACTACAGCTGCAATGTGGAGCAACCAAAACATTTTGATGTAGCGTTTTAATACGTTGCTCCTTTTATATGCATGCACCATAACGAGGATACTGTAGCCCGTCGCATACCGCCACGTCAACTACAAAAGTTATCAACAATGCTTGCATGACTTTAGCAGCACTAACATCACAATCTACTTTACTGTACGAATGTCCCAAAGTGCTACATACACATGCAGCAATTTAGAATCGAAGAAGATAAAAGTGATAAGAGCGTTGCGGGCAATGAAAAAAATAAACATCCTTAAGGTAACATTTAGAAAAAATTTTATTGCGTGTTTTTCAATGCATGTTGAGCGAAGAAAAGGTGAGAGGGCGAGTTTTGAACGCATGTTTTTAGACACATTTAGGGGCACCTCCATTACTCGCTGGATCAATCGAACTCTTTGATTGTTGGAAACAAGGTTAGTAGGGAGAAAATAATGATGCGTTTGATTTTGAGTGTACGGTAAAGCATGGTGCAAGAGAAGTTCAATAGACAGAGTGTGGATGTAAGAAAAACTCATTTGGTTCAAAAGTTAGCCAACGATGAATACACATGGGATAAAAGAGTATGCAATCTTTCTCAAACACTGATCCGCTTCCTTTCCTTCAGCAATCATTTTTTTACCCACTTGCTTCTATGATTGCTGGAATAATTGAAGAAATTTTGAACCCATGGTTTTTACCAGTTCCTTAAAATTTTAAAAAATCTCCAATTCAGACTATCAAAAATGCTTTAATAACAGATGGCAGCGCCGATCGAGGGGGGCCCTTGCCCTCGAAAATGGGTCGCGAAATTTCCGAAATTTACTCACGTGGGTTATAAAAAATGTGCGAGTAACTTGTTTATACTTGTGAATTATTAAATAACTTTTAAATTTCTGAAAATCCAAATCAGCCCTATAAAAAGGTATTCGAGGGCGTGGCTGCCGCCATGCCCCCTTTTTCTCCATTTTGGAAGTTATGCGCCCGCAAAAATTTTGAGAACCCCATATAAATTTTTTGCAGTGCGTAGCTGACGCCACGTACCTTCATTTGGAAAATTTTTTTCCTCCCTCCCCTTCCCGAAAAAAAAAATCCTGGGAAAGCCACTGACAGATGGATATAGTAGAAAACAAAACTCGATGCATTACATTTTCTAGGCTTTCCCAATTGCCTTTTCAGTCTATATCAAGATAATTTTTTCAATGTCTTCACTCCTGCGACACTGTATCGTTCACAAGACACGAATAAATCTCGAAACTCAAAATTTCCAAAAATCCATCGTAATTCAACACAAATTTTCTGCATATGAGCGTTGATCGCTCTTAGAAACTTTCCGAATTTTCCGGGAACAGCCCGGGATGCATGCAAAAACGAAAGTCATGATAAATGTATCCTTGCAGACGTCAGCAAAAGGAGAAATGTCAAAAAGAGGAGAAAAAGCTACATCGAATGACATGCGACTTGCTCGACGGTTGATGTTTCAAGAGATTTGAGTGGATCAGAAATGTGTGACGGCATCAAAAAATAGTACAGAACGTTTCGAAAAGCCAGCTGCAGATGACAAATATGCATGTTGCACATAGAAAAGGAAAAAAGTCAAAGCCGGGACCAGTGCAAAGTGTAAGTCAAAGGATTAAATGGTCGACTCTGTTTTCTCAAATAACTTTTGATGACAAATGGTGCAGGAAGCAAAAAAGTCAAGCTTTTCGTCAGACAAATCTATCACAAAAAACTGAAGTTGGGTGTACTAAAGTGCACAAGTGGTACATATACGATTTTGATATTTCTAAGCATTTGCATGGCCGTAGATGGCGAAATTTAAGCTATCTGATTAAGCCAATAATTCCGCTTCCGCTCGTAAATGCCTAGAAATTTTCATATTTTTGGCTGAAGAAATTCCCAAACAGCGGGTCACAACCTTGATGTTGGTTCGCAATATAGCCAAAAGTTATATGTAATGTATCCAACAACCAAGTTACTCATCTGTGCCCTTCAGTAAAAAAAAAGTAAAACGAAACCTAAATAGAAAAAAGTAAACCAGAACCAGGAAATCAGAACTCGGCACGAGGTGGCTTTTGAAAATGCAAAAAACGAAGTCTTCCTTGACTTTCCTAAAATTTTATGAAGTTCCCCTTTGACCTTAAACAATAATCCTAGAAAATTTCCAAAAAGGAAACGTCGATCAGAAAAACGTCGTAAATTTTGTGCCTTTTCGGCCACAAAAACGAAGTCCCCTTTTTTGCTTTCTGTCCCAAAAACGATATCCAGTCTGCTTACTAACGATAAGCCACCTGTGCCGAGCCCTGATTTACACGAAGTTTAGCTTGAGGTCATAACTTTTTGTCGCGAAAGAAAATTCTATGTAATGAATATTTGATAGTAGAGGTTTGAAGCTGCCCATTCACAAAAAACCTTAGCCAAATAAGGTTACTTGGATTGTTGCAAAGCTTCGAAGTTACATGCCAAAAGGAGATTATTCATTATCCAATCTATTATTAAGTTGATGTAAAAATAATGAGCGTTTTGAGAGTTCTCACTTTGACGTGCTACAACTATTCAAAAAATCTACACCTTCCAATACTGTAAAGGCCATCAAAGGTAGCAAACATCTCTCAATACAGCGCACATCTTCTCTGCTTATATCATAAATGAGCCGAAAATATGGATCGAAATAAGGAAAGCTGCTTCTGAGACCTCGTTTTAGCGAATCATGACCTCTCAACATTTGTTAGTATGAATGATAAGTAGCCTAGTACTTAGCCGCAAGCCAGTGCTACAAAGAAAAATGAAAGGACTTGGACAAAGTAGATTTGCGAAAAGAAAACAGACTGAAATCCAAAATTATCAGCTTTTTGGAACATTTTTGTAAGCCTCGCAGTCCCAAATTATGAAGCCTTTGATTTTCTACGTACCGAACAGTTACACGTTTCTGCATAAAGTGTCATCAAGAGGCTTACCCTTACGCTCTAAATACTGAGAAAATATCAAATTGTGCATAATGTAGACAATCTCTATTACATGTAATAGCTGGGGAAACAAGCAAATATAGAGTTTTGATTTCGAGTCGAGTGGTTGTTTAAAGCTCTGTAAAATTTTAACAATGACATTAAAGCCCGTTTTAATCATATTAGAAAGCTTGGAAAGAACTTTCTGATAGCGGCTAAGTAATTCCAAAGAAAGTTTGACGGAAAAAGGTGTCTTGAACCAAGGCCTAGAAAAGCGCTCATTATTTTTGCACCAAACTAATAACAGAATGTCGTAATTTATGGGTAACCATTCGTAAAATCCTTTAGCCCGTCATTACATAATGGCGACAATAGTCAGCAGAGAAGGATTTGCCTTGAAAATGAAAACTAAGGTGTCATAACATCTAATGTGGATAGCACAAAACTGCAAGAGTTATATTCCGTTATGCAGAACATGACAAATAATCAGCAAGTTGTATATTGCCGAGATCTACCCAGTAATGATTGTAGTGAATGCAATTCGTAGATAGCTGCAACCTCAGACTTAATCTCAATATATCGAATGAAAAGAAAGAACCTTTTTGCATCAGCCAATTTTGCATCATCGATTGATCAATCCATTTTGGTGTTTTTGTTGTTTTTTTCTTCATTTGACATTTTAGTGTACATGTAGTAATGCTCATATAATCCCGTAACTATGTTTTTGATTCTACAGCACGATGCAGCACGACTTTTTTTGACTATGATTGAATGGCTGATGCTGTCAATCCGAAATCAATCAAGTGTAAGCCAGTGACATGTTTTTGATAGTTATGTAATAGTGGTGTCAAGTAAAACATGAGGTCGCAAAAAAGAGGCGTTCTGTACAACCGTAGATTCCCCTATTTCCTTTGTGTTCTTTTCTTTACTCATATATTAATTTATATATAAGATTATGGGAAAAATTATCAAAAAGCATCGCAGTGCAAAATGATATCCACATCTTTTCAAATATCTTCAACGCTGTTGACTATGACTAAAGATTGTGTGTCCTCGAGCATTTATCAAAGAAAGCATTTTATGGCAGTGACTGCAACAGGACTGTTAAGAAATGATGAAAAGCCCACTGCCGTCTACGAATGATATCCAGCGTGATTAAAGAATCTAAAGCAAATATTAACACTGATCTTTTGAATAGCGACTTCTGACATAATTTCCAGGTTCTTTCTTCCAAATTGGGCCGACTGCAAGAAGTAAGTGAGTCGATGAGATGATTAATCTCGCCAAGATGTTGGCAGCATGCTTATGAAGTCTAACCAAGTCATCCATGGTCGTAAACAGGGTTGAGCGTAGGGTCAGGCCTCCCCGAGCTGAGGGTCGTCCTGGGGTAATGCTGAGGGGGGAGGGTTATTAAGGAATGAATTTGTTCAAGAGATTGTGAAAATAATACGATAGAGTAAGGTGAAAAAAGCGCTAAAGCGTGGATCACAACTCCACCACAGGAGGATTGAGTGTTGTGAATAGCATACCGAATAACTCCACCACAGGAGGATTGAGTGTTGTGAATAGCATACCGAATACTTCATATCGACGTCGCAGCCAAATTTCAATTCTCCATCTCTCACCTCATACATGCCGTAAAGTCATCAAAAAAATCTTCCTTCATAAACTAGGGTATGTTATCCGTAATTAGCATGGCATACCTCTATGAGCTCTACAAACCATTACGTATTACATTTCCCAATGTCCCCGACGTCTAAAAAGCGTGATTTTCAAACACGGTTAACTTGGTAACGAAAGTGAAAGAAGTCAGCTATTTTGTACTCATAACGAAGTACTGCTTTCTTTCATATGGTGGAAATCATACTTGATATTACTTTCAATTAGTGGATTAAGAATTGCTGGCAAAGTTTCAGTCAGCGTGTTCTCCACTTTGAGTGCTTCTACTCTGCCGATCACCACAAATCGAAACAAGTCGAGTTAAGTTTGAACGACACTGTAGAATATTGAAGGTTTGTGCAAAAATGTGTGAAATAGGCGCAATTCCTCAAAGGTTAAAGGCAGTGTCCAGGCTAAACCTAACCCCCTCCGATTAGTGTCGATCCTGAATGTAGGCCCCAGAAAGAGGG